GCAATCTTTGCAGTCATGTAAAAAAACAGAATGTCTGCACTTGCTCTCATAACAACAACACAACGTTTGCAAATATTTGTGTTGTTTGTACATAGCTCTTTTTATTCTTAGATCTTTATATTAGTTTTTTGTCTTCTTAAAGGGAAGTTTATCCCTTTTTACTGGTTAACTGTCACCAAACAAAATGTCTTTGTATCTTTCTACAATGACAAATATATGATCTTAAATGCTGAATGTGCCTGTTCAGCTATGTTATTATGATGTCAGAGAGGAGCCTCCTCATTGTGGAGAGGCCAGTTGTAGTGCTGGGTGTCATCACTGATTTCTACAACTGATTCAGACTCAGACAGGCAGAAATATTACATTTATCTTGGATATGTACTGCTGAAAGAAGCTTGTAAATTATAAATATTTAATTCCAATTTTTTGGACTGTTTCTCTGCAATTACAAACTCGGTGTAAACTATCTTGGTATAAAACAAAGCTGACACTGTGAGACTTCATCAGAGGTGTGAGCATCACAGCAGATGCCTTTGTGTCAAAGTAACTGAGGATAAAACAGAAAAACATGAGGAAGATTTTCCTGGCCTGGCTTTTTATAGCAGGTGAAAAACCATGAATCAACATGTGAACATCACCTGATGTTGCTGAAGTGAAGCAGAGCAAAGTTACAGAGGTTTGATTTGAGACACTGATAAGCAATCATTTGTAAAAGTCTTTGCTGTTAAACAGCAGAAATCAGACTTTCTTGTCAAATTCATTGAAATAAAAAAACAGCGCCTGGTGCATAACAAGCGAATAATGCAGAAAATAGAGATTTTTTGATGGGAAACTGGAAGTACACTGAGAGACAGCTGTGTGCAAAGCACAACCCGTGCCGTCATTCCTTATCCATGCATGCTTAGTTCCAGTAGCCCACTTGTCGTTAGTATGTCTTGACCTGTGGTTTAAAGTAATATAATGCTGCAGCTACACCAGCTCACTCTTGTTTCTTTCTATAATGTTATTCAGCTTTTCATCCAGTGAACAGTGGTCCTTTATTTTATGATATAAAAATGCCTCAGTCTTGCACATTATTATCAACATATACTGCACAATAACTGTATTGTTGGATACTTATTAAGAAGTATTCTGTCAAGAAAAAAAATATTTGCAGAATTAGTGGAAATCAGGCTTTATTCTGTTCTCTTCTACTTTTTAACAGTGTTCTCGAGTGTTTAGTTGACGGCTTTAATGCTTTTTTGTACAGTCTTGTTCTGTGACAGGTTTCTCTCTGGGTCGTGAAGGCTGAAGACTTACTGATGACGTACTGTCTCTCTTAGTATAAAAGCATGTATTGGAGTATTACTTCTTTCAAGTTTCTTTTAGTTAAAACTAAACTGCTTCCATGTCTCGTGCTTTGAATGCTCCTCAATGCATTGATCCTCATTCCCAGTGACTCTTTTACCATAAACTCTGGCCAGAGTAAAGGAGTAAAGGGAACGTGGCCATGCTATGATCTTGTGTCATGTGATGCTGTGTGAGGCAAGGCAGGTTAGGACAACAGACTATCACAAAACAGGAAAAAGAAACACTCCATGCTCAGACTGACTAAAGAGAGAGAGTGAGAGAAACGTGGAGACAGAGACTTGACATAACCAGACATGACGACACACAGTCAGAGGAGGACACCACAAGGAGAAACTAAGACAAACTGGACATGAAGAGACAAACTGGACACGAAGAGAACAAACATGAAAGCTAACAATAGCCAAACTAGAACACAAGTAACCAAAACTCAGAAGCCCTTAATTAAACATAACTACTTCATAACTCTAGTATCGTATAGTATAGTAAGTCCAAATAAACTCAGACACCTGCCAACCTCCAGCACAAACGGTTTAGCAGGATCAGGGTGGAGCAGGATGGGTTTGGGGGGTTTAGGCTAGTAAGCAGGTTTGGTGAGGGATGTTAACGGGGTGGAGCTAAAGTTTGGCTCGCCGCTTGGATCTTTTCCAGATCCGTGACTAAACTGTTGGAAGAGATAGCAAAGACATGGAAGGTGGTGGACCGCTGAAGAAAGGCGCAGTTCTCCAGTTTACAGAATAGTTGGTATTACAGCAGTCTGTTTAGCACCGTCATAAGAGGAAGATGTCGTTCAAATAGGGGAACACCCACCAGCCTAGCATGTCATGAAGGATGTTGTTGGTCAGGTGTTGGAAGACCGCAGGGCTGTTGCACAGGCCAAGTGGCTTCACCAGGTACCCCCAGTGCCTGTTAGTGGTAATGATGGCCATGTCGTAGGAAAAGACCTCGGCTGGACCAATGAACATGATACTGGTCTGGTATCAGATTGGGTAGGGATCTGAAGTGTGTGTGAAGTGACAGGAATGAAACGGTCGACCGGGGTTAACAGAATGTAGAGAAGCTAGATTTTGGTCAGTGGAGCCTCGAGAGAGGACTTTAAGTTTCAGGTGAAACGCTTCCTTAAGCAGGAAGAGGCGGTGCAGCTGTAGCTCTCTGGAAGCAGAAGTGTTTAAAGACCCTTCAAGGTCGTCACATAACTCGTTGGTATGTCTTCAGAGTGAGATCTACTCCCTCATTCAGTCTCAGGAAGCCTCACATCCAGTCGTCTCATCTCGGACGTAATCGGCCAATCCCTCCATTAAAACTGATCAGACTGATTTTGACTTTCTGTAACAAACGTTTGGCAAGTTTGCCTGCTGCATGCCTTTTCTAGTGTTTTTGAGTTCAGCCCTTTGTAGCCTGATTCTTATCATTTCCATGCTTCACATTCCTAACACATTACACCATCCAGAGCAGTGAAGCATGATTATTTCCCATTGAGATCTGATGTTTTCATTGTCTTATTTACTTATATTATTATATATTATAGTGTTTTCTCCTTATTCACCTTGTTTTTATGGAAATGTTTCAGTGATAGTGATGCAGGAACTGTGTTGCACATTAGTGCAAAGCTGTGACAAGTTAGTAACATTTTAAGCCATGTTACACGCAGCTTTCTTTTCAGGGGCATGTATGGATAAATATGTATTTGATACTTGCACATATTGGTAGCTTCTCATTTACCAAACCTAAACGTCTTTCCTTTGCGTGGTGGATAATCGTGCTCATACTGTCTCAACTCTCACAATCCAGAAACATGTGCTGAACAAACTTATGACAATGAAAGCTCGTTTACAGAACATTAAAGGGATGTTTGGATGTACATGATAATATTCCTGTCCTGATCGTTTGGGGTGCTCTATGACAAACAAATACTTTAGCTTGTGTTCCTTGAGAACAATAAAGATATAGACTCTGCTCTGCTTGTGCTTTTATTTGACCAAAAAGGGCAGTGGGATTAAAAAGCGTGCAAGAAAAGCAGGAACACTCCGACCTGCACTGTACCTAACTCGATGTGCTCTACAGTCCCTTATAGTAGTATAACCCTCTTGGTTGTCATTGGTTGGCTTGAACAAAGCATGGTCATCTGCAGGGTTTTCTGCGAGATGCACAGATCTAACCTGACCACAGGCTTTCCTGTGTTGCACCTGAGCAAACTGCAGGAGGAAACTAAGAATATTTGAAACGATTAAAAACACATTTCTAATCTGTGGATCTGTTGCCGGTCACTCGTTTGACCCAGTCATCCACTACAACGCGCCCTCTGTGTGGACTCTTCATACTAATTTACCAGACTTTTGTCTCTTTGTCTAACAGGTTGATGAAGGATTAAATGCTACTTTTTGAATTTGAATTTATTTATTTAAAAGGGACAGTGCAGTTAAACATAGTTCAAGTGCAAGACATGAGACTGATGTACCGCACATAGGTTTATAGCTACTGCTAATTTTCAACAATTGTCCCTTGTTGGGCTTACAATCTAAATAGATACATTTTACAATAAAACATTTTCATAAAACCAAATTACATCATAAATACAATTACAATTGATAGACAATAAATTAAAATAAAATTAAAATCATCAGATAAAATGACTACAACCTTGGTTTCCCTTTAACCAAAGTTTAACCTTCAATGTAAAGGATCTAATGTCTGTGATCAGTTTGATATCGGTTGGAAGCTCCACAGATGGCAGCCTTTATAGAAAAAGCTGACTGACCGAATGTAGATCTGCGATATGATATCTTGCAGTTGCCGTTCACCTTGCTCCTAGTAACATGATTACTGTCTTGTCTCTGAATGTATCTATTGAGACACTCTGGGGCCATCCTATTTATACATTTAAAGACTAATTTAAGAAAACACCAATGATTAAAACTCTTAAAACTAAGTAAGTTATATTTCTGTAAAATGTGACAATGATGCCACCGAACAGATTGTTTATCCATTATTTTTAAAGATTGGTTATATAAGGACACTACAGGCTGAAGTGTAGATGGTGCTGCTTGGGTCCAAACAGTCATACAATATGAAAAATGAGAAAATATCACAGAATGCATGAATAACTGAGCTGCTGAAGTGGGTATATGGTGCCGAATTAACTTAAAACAATTCAGATTAGCCTTGACCGTCTTAGAAATCTTCTTTACATGCTTGTCAAATTTAAGATGTGAATCTAAAATTATTCCTAAAAACTTAAAATCTTTGACCTCCTTTATTTCTTCGTTCCCTGGGTTGATTTTAAAATCATCAGATGAATTTTGTTTCCTAATCAAAAAACACATAGAAAGTTTTTTTTTAAATTCAGTACAAGATGATTTTGTTCCAGCCATTGTTGGACACCATTTAGATGTACCGTTAAGGTGTCTGCTGCTTCACCAGGTGACTTAGCTGGTACGTGTATAACTGCATCATCAGCATCATTTGCATTTTCTTGTTTGATCATTTGGAAACATCAGGGCAGGACTAATAGTTTAAGCTTTACTTTGGAAAATGAAATCTCAGGTTTGAACATAGAGTAAATGTAATAAATAACACTTTGTTTTTAAAGCTTCTATTTTGCCTTAAAATTGATAGATTTGTGAATTAAAGTTCAGCGACTTGAACTCTATGAAAAGTTCAATGAACTTTAATTATTATTATATTATTATAACTTTAATTATTTTTAGTGGATTGAGATTGAATGCAGTTTAATTTAATGTGCACTAACTGTGCATCATGTTTGTTTGTCTAAAATATTTTCAATCGATAGTTTTCATATAGAAATGTGATTAATGGGGAGAATGATGACTTGGTTGGACAAACCCAGCAGGGTTGCTGCAGGATGACTTAAATCATTGTGTGATGGATGAATGTAAACATGCCTCAGACATTAAACGAATCATTGAACAGAAGTGAACTCTCTGCTGGCACAGAAAGAACTGAAATATTATTTATTATAAGATTACCGTTACTTTACTTTGCTAATTGTGATGAGATTTTCCGACCCTTTGTTGGGAATAAAACTCCAGGTTGTAAAGTGATTTGGGGGAGTGGACTGTGGCTAGACTCCATCTAGCCACAGGTGGTCTGTAATTCTGCACTGTAATTGCCTGGCAAAGTGTATTATGGGTCTTCAGACCACTCATCCACTCCGTAGGGGAGGACAAGAGAAAAGGGTGAATGAGCTGGAAGAATAGGATGGATAACACGACGTCCCGCCGTGAGACGATTCTGCCAGACACTTACAACATGTCTGGGGAGTATTATTATTGTATGCAGTCAAAGAACACTTTCACTGAAGGTTATTAAGCCAGACTAATGAAAAAGATGGAAGCAAATGGGCAGACAATCTCCTATTCTACTGAAATGCCATTGTGTTTTGAAGACAGGTGCAACAGACATTTTCTGCACTTTCCACACAGGAAATGTTGTCATTTGGCTGTTTGACACCCACAAAGCAGCACATTTCACTTCTGGGCATTTACAGAGTTCATGGTCAGCAGCCTCTGCAGGAGCACGGCTTTCTTTGGTGCTCTGGGTCATTTTTCTGGTGCTTTCCAACTATGGAAGCAGCAGGTTTTAGTTTCAGAGCCTTATTGCCTTCTTGTGTTCAGGAAAAAAGTCAGTGTGACCATGGAAATGTTTAGTCAGCTGATAACAATTTGTTATGTTTATCGTAGTATTGTGCTTAAAGCGTGGAGCTAATTTAAGTCAGTGGCTAAGCTTCTGTTAGCAGCGTCCTTTGAATGATGGTGTCGTCTGGATGGAGATCAGGACACCCCTGCTAATAGTGGCTGTCAGTTGATTATTTAACCAACAGGAAGTTTATTTTCAGGTTTAATTAAGTACTAATTACTAAGTTAATGTACGTCTGTCATTTTTAAATAAAATAATATCTAAAAGTTGTCCCCTAACATCGCAGGGTTGAGTCAGCCAGGACTGAAGCAGGAAGCATGCTGTGCATGTTGTTTGTGTAGATGAATGAACGGTCGTCTCCAACAATGTAACGTTTAAAACAGAGTGCGTACGGCCTCAGCCTTAGAGGCTCGTTTGTGGGTAACGTGGTCAGAAGATACAAGCAGATACATTAAATGTTCTGGTTTGGGATAAAAAAGATGAGCAGGAGAGAAAATGAACCCTTATCATAAAAATGTTCATTTAAACCAGCTCTATATCACATAGACAGTGCTGGGAAGGTTACTTTTAAAATGTATTCCA